GTGGAGGCCGGGGCCAAATTTTCGGAGCCCACAATATTCACAAAAATTGTTGCTATCATTTATTCAAGGTCTTTTAGTGAAACATAGCACAGTATCTGTCATTTAGAATTGATGTTTAAGGAATCATATTCATCTTTGATGTAAAAAATCATTCCACAAATTGGATTTTTAATTAATTTAATATTTTCATTATTAGATACAACAACAACATCAAGTCTTTATCCCACTATGTGGGGTCGGCTACATGAATCCTTTTTCTTCATTGTGTCCTATTAAAAGTCAAATTCTCGTTTAAATCTAATAAAGAAAGGTCATTCCTAATATTTTCTAACCAAGTCTTTTTAGGTCTACCCCTACCTTTCTTAACATAAGTCAAATCTAATACCTCTACTCTCTTAACTGGGTCGTCGGAAGGCCGCCTTTTTATGTGACCAAACCATCTAAGGCGACTCTCTCTAATTTTATCTTCTACTGGAGCTACTCCAACCTTTTCACGTATATGCTCATTTCGTATCCTATCTCTAAGGGTAAAGCCACTCATCCACCTGAGCATCCTCATCTCTGTCACACTTAACTTAGTATTATGCTTCTCTTTTAATGGCCAACATTCGGCACCATGAAGCATTGCAGGCCTCACTGCTATCTTATAGAATTTTCCCTTAAGTTTGAGGGGTACATTTCTATCACATAACAAGCCCGATGCATTCCTCCACTTCAACCATCCAACTTGAATTCTGCTGATAATATCCCCATCTATTTCACCATCACTCTGAACAATAGATCCAAGATATCTAAAATGTGTACTCTTATTAATGACTTGATCGCTCAAAGTCACAATCCCCTCACTAGGTCTATTACTACTAAAATTACACTCCATATATTTCGTTTTAGATCTACTCAAGCGAAAACCTTTAGACTCTAAGGTTGACCTCCATAATTCAAGTTTACCTTCAACTCCCTCTCTAGTCTTATCAACAAGAAGAATATCATCAGCAAAAAGCATACACCAAGGTATATCCTCTTGCAAATGTCTAGTGAGAACATCCATGACTAAAGCAAACAGATATGGGCTTAAGGCTGATCCTTGATGTAACCCAACCGAAATAGGGAAATACTTGGTCAATCCACCTTGTGTTTGAACACAAGTAATAGCTTCTGCATACATATCTTTAATGATTTGAATATAAACATTATTGACTCCTTTCTTTTCAAGAACTCTCCATAGCACTTATCTTGGAACTTTATCATATGCTTTTTCTAAATCAATAAATATCATATGTAGATCCTCCTTATTTTCTATATATTTCTCCATCAAACCTCTTAATAAATGTATGACTTCCATAATCGGCCTACCCAGCATGAATCCAAATTGATTTTGAGAAACATTGGTATCACGCCGCAACCTATGCTCCATAACTCGCTCCCATAGTTTTAAAGTATGACACATTAACTTAATACCTCTATAATTCGCACAATCTTGTGCATCACCTTTATTCTTAAAAATATGAATTAATACACTCATTCTCCACTCATCTGGCATATTTTTAGTCTTCAAAATAGTATTAAAAAGTTTAGTAAGCCAAGAAATTCCTTCATCTCCTAAGCATTACCACATCTCTATTGGAATATCATCAGGTCCAACAACTTTTCCACCCTTCATTTTCTTTAAAGCCTCTCTAACTTCAATTTTACTAATATGTCGATAAAAACAGAAATCTTTATTTTCATTTAGGGTGCTAAGGTCACTATAGTCAATTTTATTATCACAATCTTCATTAAAAAGTTTAGCAAAATATCTCATCCACCTTTGTTGAATATTATTTTCTAAGAAAAGTATTTTTGATCTTCATCCTTAATACACTTAACTTGAACTAAATCTTTACTACTATCTCTTTGCTTGGCTAACTTAAACATATATCTTTCTCCCTCCTTAGTATCTAATCTACTATGTGAGGCCTTCCTACTTTGAATCTACTAGTTATGCTAAAATAGAAAAAAAAAGCTACAATTATACAATAATAACCTTCCTACTTTGAATATATACAATTAGATTTCCCTTTTATGCAACTGATTCTAACTTTCTTGGCATGAATTAGTGGGATCTTGATTTCTTTTTCATTATTGAATAAATCCTGAGGCTTAATTTGGAATAATTTTCTTACTGTTTCTACAATTTTTTTTTAAAGCAGTGGCCAAATGCTGTCCCAAACAAAGTCTCAATATTCCAGCAGTACCTTCAGGTTTGGTTCTAGGGAAAATTAACAACAATTGTTTGTTTAAAAGATTATCATTCATAGCAAGATGCATGTCTATTTTTGGCCTTATTAGTTGATGGCTTTAAGGGTTAAGGTTGGGTAGCATTAGGCAACAAAGATGTGATTGTTCTTAGAGAATTTTTTTGGTCCTGGTGAAATAAGAGGGTTGATGATTATAACAAACATTGGGGAAATGCATCACTATGATTCTCCCTGGTTAAAAATATACATTTAATCGCTGGATACTCGATGTCCTTTTTGCTATGTGTGCTTAAAAGAAGTTAAACTATTCAACTCATGACACCCAAGAAAAATCCCAAGTCAGTTCCAAAATATGTGATATAGTAATGTTCAAATCTGGATGGATCAAAAATCAAGAATGTGATGAAAAGAAAGTCAAACCAGTAACAAAACTTTTCAACTGATTCAATGATTATTTCATCATACAAAATTCATTTATTCATGACAGACCTTATACAACAGTGGTAAGGGTAAATTACCTCCAAACATAGTTAAGAACTGCGAGAAATTTTTGCTTGTCCCCATCACACCTTCCTTCTACTTATACATCAACACTAACCATGATCATTCTGATAAAAATTTCCTACTCAGCGGAGCTCATTGAATGATGAAATCTATGGCTCATAACAAGAATTTTCTGAGTTACATAACCTTAAATTGTTATAATGATAATTATAATCTCAATCAGGTGAATTTGGATAAAAGAGACAAAATTTGACATGGATTTTCCTCAAACTCTCTCCAAACATTATGCAATTGTTGTCCTGCAGAACAAATGCTGGCATCATCAAATTCAGCATTACTAATTGATAAGTTGTTGCAATCTGGGTGCACGACCATATTTTTTGATAATTACAAACATTATTGGATGCTTTATTTACTTATTTCTGCATCATATTTTGGATATTTATTTTTGTGTACAACCAACCTTTCAGATATAGCATACACCAAGAAAAGATTGAAGAACCGGCTTGAGACAATATAGCATCAAGGTAAAAGTCAGTCTGTATATATGTCAGAGAGCCCGTATTTTTCATTTTTATTAAGTCTATTTTTGTATTAGGTGTATGTTGACTTAACAACTGTGTACACACATAAAAGGAGGTTAAAATTGAATATTTTAATTTTTTTTATTTATCGTATTATATGATCTGTTCAAACAAAAATTAATAAAATATATAAATAAGTAAGATTAATTAAAATTGATATATAACTAATCATACTGTACGATTTACATATCGTACTGTCGAATCATGGTTACCTAAAATAGGCAAATTTAAAATTTGAAAATTGAATTGATCGTACTGTACCATATTTAATTATACTTGCCTAATTTAAGACTGATAATTAAAGAATCGAATCAGATCTAAATTAATTACATATCATACTATACAATACACATATATCGTACAGTCCAATTCATCCGAGAGTTCTTTCGACGATTTTTAATCGTACAGAACAATCTTCAAAGGCATTAAACTAATTGTATTGTACGATCCAACAATCTTATCTTACGATCCAACAATCTTATCGTACAATCGTAGGCGACTTAATTAAAAACTAGGGTTTTGAGAGCCCACATTATAATTTGTTCGTAACTTGAAAGAACAAGTTTTTTGGAGTCCAGAGAAGTCCTCCTATGAGAGAGCTTGGAGAGAGTCCACAAAGTAAAAGGAGAGAGGAGAGAGAGGAGATGAGGTTGAGAGAGGGAGAAGAGCCTTGAGGGCATCAAGAGAGTGTGAGGGGGTTCACATGGTTGCTCCGGCTGACTTGCGCCTTGGGTCATTTGATTTCTGTTTGTGTGGAGCCCATAAAGGAAAGTTCTTGGAGAGGGAGAGTTTTTGGATCAAAAGACTAGTTGAGGATGCTAGGAGCAACATCTTCACAGTATGTGTAAGTGAAAGGAGGTTTCAATATCTTCGTCAGAATTAAAGGTGAAAGGAGTTTCAGCATCTCCACCGGGCTAGAGGGCAAAAGGAGAGATAGCAGCTCCGCCTGGCTAAGGAGGCGAGAGTAGGAGATTCTTCAAGTTTGAAGAGTCTGTAAGGGTGATTCTCCGCCTGGTTAAGGATGAATGGCTTCTCCACCTAATTGTGTTAAAGGAGAGATACATATAATGCAAATTCCAAAGAGGAGGATTTTTGGGAAGTGGATGTAGGTCAATTTGATCGAATCACTATAAACCTCAGTTTGCATTGTCTTTCCGCACTTCACTTTTCCTACAATTTATTTTTATTGCAATTTGGTATTGATTTGGTTATCTTGAAAAAGAGGCATTTTGGTGAATAATTGTTGATTGAATCTTGTTTTGAAAATCAGTAATATATATATATATATAAAAAATTAGCCTTCAATAAATTTGTTCTTCTACAAAAATATTTATTTGTTTTAATCTCTGATTTAGAATTGTTTTATTTCTTTAATGCTTTTGCATATTAAATTTATTTTTTAGATAGATTTTCAAAGATTTGAAAAAGTTTCTAAAAGAACCAATTCGTCCCTCTTTGTGTGCCATAAGAACTTTCATAAGTGGCTTAGTGTTTGGCCTTTACTTTCATAGAAAAACTGTTCATCATCAGGAAACAAATAAGGTCGCCAAATGGGAAAAAATGCTGTGATTGGAGAAGCAAAATATTAAAATATTGGCTTCCAAGTCTGAAGTCTGGTACAGTATAGATTAGATATTTGCATGAAAAATCAAGGAAGAAATTCAGCCAAACTTACAGTTTCAATTTGAAGACCAAAGTTTCCATTTGAAAAGGTTGAATTTCTGCTTAAATTTTCAAACTCCCAGTTTGGCACATAAACACCAACAAGTAAGGCAACGTACATTGCAGAAAGCACAATGGCAACAATCCTTCACAAAAAATAATAATTTATCAGATGAAATTAAATTTATTTTAAAGTCGATGTAATAATCAAGCTAGGATTACGATATAATTTGTTTTTCTTCCATATTAATAACATGAAGAACATATGTATGATTGCTTCTGTATGAAAGCATGTCAGAAAGAAAACAGTGTCCTTGAGATTGTAACCTACCAAACTTAATGCTAGAAACACAACTCTCCTTGGCCTATTGGTTGAGAGCTAAGGCTTCCAACTAAGAGGTCTAAGGTTCGAGTCTCTGTGTATGCGTTGTGTGTGTGAGTTTGCCTTAAAATGATTGCTTCTGTATGAAAGCATGTCAGAAAGAAAACACTGTCCTTGAGATTGTAACCTACCAAACTTAATGCTAGAATGCTAGAAACTTTTGGGTGGAATTATATACATAACGCCAAAATCTTGCGTATTCACAAAACTGACACACATGTCCTTATTTTGAACTATCAAACTCACGTATTTGTTGGTGCCACAATTAAAATTGCTGGGAATTTAACAAAAGTGAAAAAGAAGGCCTAGAATTCTGTTATAAATTTTGATATTTAGGAGAGTTTAGAAAATGAAAGCAGGAGGGTGTAAACTTTATAAATAGCCAAGATTTAGGTGTCATAAGATTTAGGTGTCATGCTTGTAATTGCCCCAAAATATTTTCAAAAATTGAAGAACTTATTCAAAATCCATCAAAATAAAAAATACTACTAAATATATGCGCTTAAGTAAATTAGTTCCAAATTCTTAGTTTACTTTTTGAAGTCCAAATTTTTCGCATTTTTATTTTTTAACTATCTCTAGTAATGCACCCTCTCCAAAGTTGAAGGACACCAAAATCGAATATTTCTTTTTTCTTTTAAGGATTCGCCACAATACATAGCCACCATCACATATCCTCACAATCTCGGTGTCTCCTAATTTTATACCAATCTCTAGTTCTTCCTTCTTCATTATCAAGAGATCCAATGATGACATGCCATGTGCTAGCACTTGTCGGACGAGTGAGATAATCACTTTGGAGGAATGACACTAGCCCATAAAATTTTGCGGCAGTGCTACTTCTAACCGATTTAAGGATGCTGAGGAATTCTACAAAAGGTGCCCTAAATGCCAGAAAATTTTTCCCCCATGCAACTACAATTTCTATAGTATTTTACAAAAATATAAAATAAATCTAACATCCCTATCTCAAATCATTGTTGATACTAGCTCAAATAGAGTAACAATTTTTTTTTTTTTGAAGAAAAGCTTTGCTATGTGCGAGACATCATTAATTTTTGAACATGATAAAAAAAATGTCATTTTAGAGAACCTATAAATAATCATAAAATTTAGGTTAGAGTGTTAGACAACTATGAACCTAAGGAAAAGTTCATAATTTATTAAATTCTCTCATTGGGGGTAGCTCATCAAGTAATTCATCTAAGATCAGCTCAAAGAGCTCAAAAAAGAAATTGGGGATCACAGCAGACATCTGAGTCTCAAAATGGGTTAATATAATCTCCTTAAAATGCAATAATTGCAAAGTAGAGTCTAAATAATTTTTTTCCTCAATTTTTTGAAATCTAAGTGTTCATTATAAATCCTGGGGTAAGCTTTTAATAAAGGCTTTCTAGGCTGAGGGTGAGGA